AGATTTGACCTCAGGTCAACGGTTTAGCCTCCGTCCTCCAGAGGGCAAAAACTCCAAAAAAGCCGTTTTTACGAAAAACGTTTCTTCGGCAATAACTTTTGACTCCAAAGAGCCATGAAATTACTTTTGCTAGCATCGTGTTCCTCTCGTCGAGACGCGTCGAATGAACTATAATTTGACCTTGAAAGGTCAACTTGAAAATTTGACCTCAGGTCAAGGTCATGACCTGACCGCGAAAGGTAATGTTGCATATCAGTCGATCCGCAACGTCGAGCCGAACACATCTAAGGTGTTTTCAGCGCTCTAGCACGCCTCTATCAGAAGTTATTAGCGAAAAACTGTTAGATTCTGTTCGTGACCTGAGATGACCTCGGGGACATAACAAGGGGCACAGTTGCCATTTCCGGTTCAGTGTGTCAATTTTTGACCTACATCTCGATGTTTGAGAGTGTCTAGAATAGCGTTCGTGCAAAACAGACACTTTTCAATTTTCTCCCATTGACTTAGGTATAGATAGGTAGGGGAGAGAGGTCATATTGCGCCACACCTTCCTCCTGCCCAAAATTCGATTCGAACGAATACTCGAATGTGTGCATTTACTTCACCACCAATAACTCGCTCTTATTCCGGTCCACGGGGGCAGGTGAGGTGTCTCAGCTTTCTCGCAGACCATTTTTTGTGATTTCCTCTATTTTCTTACGCGAAACAGTCTATTTCGACCTTTGCTAGTGTCATGGTTTATCTTAGAGATAGTGATTCAACTAATAATCATTGTTACTTGCTCGTTTAATGGTAGTTTTGACTTTTGAAAGTTTATCACCACCGTGGCTTCGCTGTCGTCGCCATATTTGAAGCTCATGAAAAATGTGTTCCATTCGTAATTGCGCCCACCCTATTTGCGCCCTATTCTTCAACCCAGAGAAACAGCATCTGGTGGTTGGGACACATTTCATTGAACACTTTGATTATTAGAGCGCAGAGCCTATTTTAAGGGAATTTGACTGGGGGGGCAACCTGGAAAATTGTCTCTAATAATCCATCAACCCTCGCCCGTATTGGTATTTTCCAGCTGCGAACGTATATGGGGGGGGGGGGGGGGTCCGTTGGACCTTCCCCTTGCCGTTTCGACCCTGCTCGAGCTAGAGCTTCGTGGAAAAAACGACCGTGTTGCCCGTGATGAAAGGAAGCCGATGATACCCAATTTTAACCCTCGCCGACCCTCGCCGACACAGGGGGGGGGGTTGATGCAACCCCCCTAAGGTTTTTTCGCGAATAACTCGCGTAAAAAGCTGCCGATTGCAACGAAACTTTCAGTACCCTCGCATTTATCAATTTTACACCTACCCTGAAAATTTCATGACCCTGACCCAAATGACCTTTGACCTGTGGGCTGTGACCTACTTTCCGAGACCATGTTTGGCCGGAATCACGATTCGGCGTATGTCGACTCGCATTAGCCGCGCTTTTGCAAGCTTTTCGTGCTTTCAAACGTTCAAACATGTGATTTGATGTTGCTCCCATGCATTAGGGTGGATGTCAAGGTCACCTGAAGGTCAGGTCAGGTCAGTGACCTTTGATGACCTCGGTTCACTTTTTCGAGTTTTACATGTTTCTATAGGCCAGTTTTTGGAGCTGAATTCGAATTTAGCAACCCGATGAACATTTACGAAGCCTGTAGTTTTAGTGCCTTTGTAGCATGTTACGAAGCTGTAAGAGGCGGTTGACACCTACTAGGAATACCCGGCAGGACCCCTACTGGTTGACCTGACCTGACCTGACCCGACCTGGACTAAATGCATGAAGACATCATCTGTGATCAAAACTCACATGATATCATTCGGATCAGCACCCCGAAAAACCCCATAGCAGCCACACTTTACGACGTTCTAACAGGTCCCGATTTTCCCGATTTTCGGGTCATTGACCTGACCTGGAAGGTCACCCGATGACCTAGGACATTAAAATTGGATATCATCGGCTTCCTCTCGTGACGGGCAGCACGCTCGTTTTTTCCGCGAAGCTCTAGCTCGATCAGGGGCCAAACGCGAGGGGGTCGTACCAACCCCCCTTGTGCCGTCGAAGGACGCAAAATGGCCTGTGCCGGCGAGTGTTAAGGTCCTAGGTCGTCATCACTTGACCTTCCAGGTCAGGTCAATGACCCAAAAGTCGGGAAAATCGAGACCTGTTAGAGCATCGTAAAGGGTGGCTGCTATGTTTTTTCGGGGTGATGATCACGAATATCATGTTAGTTATGATTATAGATGATGTCTTCATACATTTAGGCCAGGTCGGGTCAGGTCAGGTCAGGTCAACCAGTAGGGGTTTTGCCGGGTGTTCGTAGTAGGTGGCAACCGCCTCTGACAGCCTCGTAACATGTTACGAAGGCACCAAAACTACTTCGCAAACGGTCAAATGGTTGCTAAATTCGAATTTAGCTCAAAAAAACTAGCCTAGAATCTTATAGAACTCGAAAATGTGAACCGAGGTCATCAAAGGTAAATGACCTGACCTGACCTTCCGGTGACCTTGACACCCACCCTTATGCATGGGAGCAACATCATATCCCATGTTTGAACGTTTGAAACCACGAAAAGACTGCAAACGAGCGGCTAATGCGAGGCGACATGCGCCGAATCGCAATCCCGGCCAAACATGGTGCCATGGTGCTAGGCCGTCGGTGCATCTGAAAGAACTGTGGGTGCCCCTGACAAGCCTGAAGTTCCAACGACAGGCCCGTGGTGCCCCTGACAGGCCCATGATGCCCTTGCGAGGCCGTTGGTGTCCCTGCTAGGCCGGTGGTGCCTCTGCTAGGCCGCTGGTGCCCCTGGGCCCTGAGAGGACTGTGGTTCTCCTGACAAGCCTGGAGTGTCCCCGACAGGCACGTGGTGCCACTTACAGGCCCAAGATGTCCCTGCGAGGCCGGTGGTGCCCCTGCCAGACATGTGGTGTCCCTGCTAGGCCTCTGGTTCCCCTGACAGGCCTGTGGTGTCCCTTGGCCCTGACAAGCTTGAGGTGCCCCCGACAGGCCCGTGGTGTCGCTGACAGGTCCGTGGTGCCCTTGCTAGGCCTGTGGTGCCTCTGGCAGGCCTGTGGTGCCCCTGGCGGGCCTGTGGTGGTATCCCTGACAGGCCCAAGGTGGCGCCCCTGCGAGGCCGGTGGGGCCTCTGGCAGGTCTGTGGTGCCCCTGGCAGACCTATGGTGCTCTTCCTAGGTCGATGGTGCTCCCAACAGGTCTGTGGTGCCCCTGATAGGCCGGTGGTGCCCCAGGGAGGCCTGTGGTGTCCCCGGGCCAAAGGGGGCGGGGGTCATAACCCATATGACCCACCATTGGATCCACCACTGGTCATTACTTGCAGACTGACTCATTTGACATCCATTGCAAAACAAGTCACAGTTGTATGTTTGTCACCGTGTTCCTTTATGCCCATTTTTATAGTGGGCACATCTCGACGACTGGGGGGCAATTCTGTTGAGTGCGGGGGCATTTGCCCCCCAGTTAACATGTTAAAATAGGCCCTGTTAGAGCGCTCACCTTACCATTACCTTAACCTTCACAGCATAAATGGTTAATGGGCTGACACGTTCAAATAGGCTACTTAGTTAGGTGACAAACCGTTGTTTTTAATAGGGCGCTTTTAGGCCTACATGAGAGGCATGGGCGCTTTTTGATGGGGGAGTCCGTAAATGCGCCCTTTGCAGATGTGCCGGAAAGCTTTTCTCTTGTTAATTTTTCTGGGTGTGATACAAATTGGGAGTTGTTATTTGATGCCAAAATAACTGAGGTACAATTTGAGATATCATCAAACATGACAGCTGGTCAACTTTAGCCGCAATAGGCCGATATCCTTAAAGGGACCCTCCCACCTTAACATTAGTTTTGAGTTGAGATAGCCAAATTGGTGGCCATGGCCTGCAAATACCGGTTTGGGCACTCACAACATCGAGAAATGCTTTAATTCGAAGATATGGAATTTCAAACTTGCAGTTTTCGGATTCTAAGGGGCTAATGCATTGGTATGCCCCCTTAGAATTTGTGACGTCAGCGGAGATCTAACGATTTTCAAATCTTAGACTAAAACCATCGTTAACACGTGGTGGTATACGCTGCTTTGCGCGCAACGTCTGCCGCACTTTAAGGCTGCCAAATTATTGCTTCCAAATAAAGTCGCTAGTAACAGGGAGATCCCAAAAAGTAAACAAAAGTAAAAGCCTAATATCTTGAAAACCAGTGAATATTTTTCGGTGAAATTTGGTAGATATTCGTTTTCGCTCTTTCTGAACCAAGGGACATCACATTCATGCCAATTCATTAACTTTTTTGAAGGTGGGAGGGTCCCTTTAAGGTGGGGAGCTTGTCTAAAAAGCAGACGAGATTAGTAGACGAGCCCATGCTCAGTAACTACTGGACCGATTTTGATAATTCTTTCACCATTCAATAGCACGGAACTTATATAGGTGCCGTTTTTCGTTTTTTGGCGATTGGTTCACTCTGACTGGACCAATCGGACCAAAATGGTCCAGAACCATACACCCCCTTAAAAGCAGACGAGCCCATGCTCCGAAACTACTGGACCGATTTCGATGAAACCTTCACCATTAGACGCGCCGTGGTCTGAAACGATGCCGTTTTTGATAATTTCTTGATTGGTCCAACCTAAGTGGTCCAAATCGGTCCAAAACCCCTAAAATCTGTTGCAGACGAACCCATGCTCCGAAACTACTGGACCGATTTCGATGAAACCTTCACCATTAGACGCGCCGTGGTCTGAAACGGTGCCGTTATGGATAATTTTTTGATTGGCCCACCCTAAGTGGTCCAAATCGGTCCAAAACCGCTAAAATCTCTTGCAGACGAGTCCATGCTCCGAAACTACTGAACCGATTTCGATGAAACCTTCACCATTAGACGCGCCGTGGTCTGAAACGGTGCTGTTTTTGATAATTTTTTGATTGGTCCACCCTAAGTGGTCCAAATCGGTCCAAACCCCCTAAAATCTGTTGCAGACGAGCCCATGCTCCGAAACTACTGAACCGATTTCGATGAAACCTTCACCATTAGACGCGCCGTTGTCTGAAACGGTGCCGTTTTTTATAAAAAAAAAAATTTTATTGGTCCACCCTAAGTGGTCCAAATCGGTCGGACTTTTTGAGTCTTTAGCTTTATTTTATTGAGCTAAAGACGTCAAAATAATTGGCTATTCGCTATTCGGACCAAGTGATCTTTCAACCTTGATAAGTTTCGCTGCGTGGTAATTGCCGCCATTGCCGCAGCCGGTAGAATTGTGTATTTTGTTTGAGCATTTCTGGATTATTTTTGCTGTTACCTGGCCTTATGTAAGTATATTTGGGTGCTATTTGGTTAATTTTTTTTCATTCCTGGCTACTTGGCTTCCTTTCCTTTCAGTGGAGCATTTAAATGTCAATTTGGGATGGTTAATTTTGAGGATATTTTTTTTTTATCTTCAGCTAGTCTTGTCACATCTTGAACTTTCAAATCAAATAAAATCAGAGCTGGGCGCGTTCCTCGATTTTCGGTAGTGCGTTAGCGTTCCTGCGTTCCTCCGGCCGCGGTTAGTGCGTTCCTGGAATAGCGTTCCTCAATTTTTTTTCGTTCGGTGCGTTAGCGTTCCTGCGTTCCTGCGTTCCTCCCTCAAAAATACCGCCGAACCACGCGGCGCGGGCCCAACCAAACACGGGGCGAATCGATCACAGAATACCCAGAATGGCGACGTGGGGCCGAAAAGCAACTCGACATCTCTTTTCCGAATCGAATATCTGAAATACGTTTTACCAATATCATCCGTAGGGTTTTCAACAAAAATACGACCTGCTTAAAAACAATAGTTAAGTTAAAAGATGAATCATAGTAAAAGTTATCATATTTACTTTACACATTTAATGCTTGAAACTGAATCGAATAGTAAACATCACCACTAAAAATCTTTACACATTTAATGCCTGAAACCGAATCGAATAGTAAACATCACCACTAAATCTAAGCAAGCCTTACTCGATTCGACCGACAAGTGGCGCCTCCCGGCAAACACACGTACTCGAGATTCAAACATTTGACACAGAGTTCATTGGCAGCAATATAATTTTTCGGGTGGTTCCGCAAGAACGCGGGAACGCTTTAAAATTTCGGGTGGTGCGTTCCTCTTACTTGCGTTCCTTTGAAAAACTTTGCGTTCCTGCGTTCTTGCGTTCCTAAAAAGGGCGGTGCGTACGTACGGAAGAACGCAGGAACGCACTAAAGGAACGCACTTGCCCAGCTCTGAATAAAATGATACAAAAAGATAAATTAAAGGCATGAAACTGAAAGACATCACCCCACCCCAGTGATTAAGAGCTTGATTTTTAATTATATGACATCAGAACATCCCATACACTACAATGCTGATGATTATGATTTGTACATACTGATACAGTACAAAACATGCCTGGACGGCAGACACTTTTAAGGCAGAACATAGTTACAAGAAGGGGCACAGTTAAAAAATGATAAACAAATCATAGTGTTACTGTAGAGTATCTAATTTTTCAGATGCTTGTGTATGAATATGGGCCAGCACCCAGCAGTGAGAGCATCTGCCAGTCATGCATGAAAGTTTGGATGTAAACACCAGCAAAAAAAGTCTTAAACCTTAAAGTAAATGTCATATTTCAATTGTATATCACTGACACCCATACAACAACAGTTTTTTTTGCTGTCTCAGTCTGGCTTCAAAATGCCCTTTGTTCCGTGGCATGAGAGGTGTGCTCCGCCTCCGGTCTTAAGCCTGAAGCAGACTATTTCCACTGTCAGGAATTCACATGCGAGAGCCTATTCAGATGCATGGAAGCATGCATGCATCAATTGCATGCACCTCCTACATGTGATTGATGCGGGTAGAACTATAGTTCGTTTTTTTTCAAAAGGACGCTGGCTCAAAGTTCAATATCGAAGCTCTCACGTGAGTTTTGGCAACTTCAGTGTCTGGCCAAGAATTTCTTACCGAAAAAAACAATCGATTTCAAATTGTGTATGATAAGTAGCTGGAAATTGTTTCTTAAAAATGAACATATTATTATGACGTCACTGGTGGCAGCAGGCACCCAAATGTCCGTGCAATGGGACAAGTGTCAACGAATTTGGGTGAAACTTAGTTTTTCACTGTTGCCGAGCTTATGATCGAGTAAGCGGTTTCGTCCATGATAGTTATACGTTACATTGCAATACATGTTCGACAGCATGATGTCACCACTGTTCTCATATCTGGTTCCAAAACGCACATATGGAAATTATCGGGAAGAAATCACATGTTAAAATTAGTCGACGTTCGATTTTCTCAGGTTCAGTTTTTGCTCGTTTTGCTCGCTAAAACACGTGCTTGTTCGAAAAACATACTTGGAGCCAGCGTCCTTTTAAAAAAAAACGAACTATAGGTAGGTATAATGTAGCTGATTAGGCTCTTGCATGCGATTTCCTGATTGAGGAGTGTTTCAGCCTTTACTATGACATTGGTATTCTCATGCCACAAACAACATTTCAAAGCCAAATGGCAATAAACAAGTGAGGGCAACAAACATAGGTACCCAGGCTGCAGGCACACAGAACACAGCCCAGAACTCTTACCTACTACATATTTGGGTATTAGTATATATTAGGTCCGAGTGGACAATTGTGACGCTGTTGATACAAATATGTAACAGCAAAAAATCTAGGTTTTAGGTTAGGTTAGGTTGTAGGTTTGTAGGTTTTAGGTTTTAGGTTGGTAGGTTTTAGGTTGTTAGGTTGTAGGTTTGTAGGTTGTAGGTAAATAGGTAAGGTTAGGTCAGGTTTGATTATGTTTTTTCTTTTATTTCCAAGACATATAAGCATCATTTATGGATTCAGGATGTCAAATAATGTAAGAATATGAAAACTTTATCCTTTAACAGTCACTCGGACTCAATGTATACTTTTACCCATATTTGAAAGTCTACCTATGTGATAAGCTAAATCACGGTTAAAGGTGCTATTTTACAGTTCTTAGGTTGTCTGACCTGCCTGGCCTGCTTTGGCTGTTTTGAAAATTGTGCAGAAAATGTCCTGTGACCACTGACCAGTGTTTGAATGCTCATTGCCCAATTTTGATGTTGATATTATTTGACAGTTGGGCTTATCTTATTTTTCAGATTTATTACAAAATGAGTAAATCAGTGAGGAGGAAGTATGATGATGACTATGATGGTAAGTTTCTTAGCCCATAAGTTGCTGGGGGTGCACCCCCCCCCCCCCACTTTTTTGCCTGGCTGTAGCTAAAAATGGTGCACCACAGACATGCCAAATTTTGGGTATCTGTAGGGAGTTGAATGAAGTTTATTGCGATAAAATGAAAAATCAGTCATAAAACATTTGAGACATAGAGGTTTTAGTGGTCCTGATTTTTAAGTTTTCGACCAAAATGGCATATGCAAAAAAAAAATCATAAAATCACAGAGAACACATACAGACATTGGTCCCATAAACACTAGACTGGCAATACCATGAACAGTCAAATGGCTTTCTTCAATTGTTGATTATCATTCTACATTTTCCAAAATCTTGATGTGAATTTAGGCAATTGCTGCGAATAGCAGTTTTGATTTTATTGGATATGTGCTTACCTGACCGACCTGACTTTTACCCTAAGTAACCTAGGATTGACTGACCCCTACATGGATCTGTCACTACCGTAAAACGGGGTGTTAAGGGACAGTTTTGAGGTGTTTTGTTATATAACTCAAGAAGGGTTGGAGATAGAAGCATCAAATTGTCAGCATTTTATGTGGAATTTGGTGCTTAACATGCCTGCCACATTAAGGTTTTGAAGATTTCTGCCTGCATATTATTTTTTATTATTTTTCATCACTGTCCCTTAGCACCCCAATGTGGGGTGTTAAGGGACACTTATGTTATTCCAAGAAATGATCATCAAATGCCCACAATTGGGGTGTGGAAGGGCACACAATTTATTTATTGAAATGTTTTGCATATTCTGTCACAAAACAAGTCAGGTTCATTCACCACTAATGACCTTTTTAGCCAATTACGTGTAATGCTGTTTACGCTTGTGGAAAATGTGCTAATTATAAGGTAAACAGAACCAAAAAGTAATCTTCTGTCATCAATAAAAACCCATGTTGAAGCTAGTCACTTGTCATTATGTTGCCCTCTTTGTTTTGGCCTATTTATGATGACATCACATTTCCCTACATCAGTCTCCATTGACCCATCATTGTAAAAGAGAGTGTTGAGATGTTTTGTGACATAACTTTAGATGTGTTAGAGATAAAAGCATGAACTTGCCAGCATTTTTTGTGGAATTTGGTGTTTTCCATGCCTACTGAAAGAAAACTTGATTAAATTTTATTTAGATTTTATTTTTTATTTTTCTTCCCTGTCCCTTAGCACCCCACATCCACCTCAAAATATGCATGTATCCGGAAAAGAGAAAGAGGATGATGAATGAATGGGTGGATTTGCACAAGTTTTTCAGGAAACATGTGCAATACATGTGACAATACACCTATGCATTCATTTTCCCTGTACACCCACTAGTTTATGAGGTACACACAGAGTTTTGGAGATGTTTCAATTTTGTGAAAATGTAGCATGATTTTCAAATCCATTTTTGAACCAAATCACTTGCATGAAAAAACATTGCATTTTGTCCTATGGTTAAGAGCAAAACAGTGTCAACTACCACACTGAAGTTTTTATTGAACCTTCTCAAATTAGGAAGTTAATATGACTCAAAGTTTTTCCCATGCAACTGTCCCTTAACACCCCACTGTCCCTTAACACCCCATTTTACGGTACCTATTGTAGCATTTACATCACGGATGGTGCATAGTCTTGACAGAGTTTATGACAAAAGACGCGACAGTACGAGGTTCTAAAGTCCATGCTACTGAACCCCCAATTGAAAGTGTTTGACCCAACTTTGACCCGACCTTTAACCTCGAAATTCAACTTTCAAATACTCATCTGAAGCGGCTCGTCGCGTTCTTTCGTTTGCCTCCTCGTGCATTTCGCTACGCCTATTGGTTCTCGAGTCATCGGCTGGGGCGTTAAACGCCCTCCCCTCAGCAAACAGTGGGTAGCGAAATACCCCAGCAACTGCTGGATTAAGATCAATGTGATGAATGTGCTGAAAATATACTCAGTGTGTCTGTGGGCTCGCCCATGCATGCAGTTTGTGTAGGGGCTACTTTATTTCAATGCCTATACGTGTTTGTTTCAGACGACAGATCGGCCAAGCGCCGCCGGCTGTCGGGAGATGCCGTCGAGATTGAAGACCGTCTCGAGTCTCTCATTATCCGTGTTGGCGAGAGGGTATGTGGTAGTGCGACAAACATTCATAACATGGAATTACTTTTTCTGATATTCTCAATTTTGGCGGTGTGTGAAACGTGTGAACTGAAGTCTTATCAGCAATCATTTTTTAGAGCATTGCATACCTGAAACTGACAATGTATTTTTGTCTTCTGGGTAATTATTCATTTGTGTGTTGTAGTTGTTTCTCTTTTTTCATTCACTTGAGATAAGTGCATTCAGCCTTGGCTTGGCCAAGTGAAATTATTTTGAATTTGTGCACGTGTTAATTTTTCAGAGTACAGCATCTCTGGAGTCAAATCTCGAAGGTCTCTCGTCTGTGCTGGAAAATGATCTGGTCAAGGCCAAAGATAAAATCCAAAGAATTTTGGTGGACTGTGCGTCCAAGATGCCGGAGCGATCGTCTGTCTACTCGACTCTAGTCGGTCTTCTGAACGCCAAAAACTACAACTTCGGTGGCGAGGTACGTCAATATGTCAGTTTATTATCCTTTGTGCCACATTAGTTGCATTATGTTCATCCATGGCGTTTCTACATGTTTTACCTCCAAACCATTACGTTCGTCGTTCTTTCGACTGGAAGCTCGTTAAAATTCCATTTACTATAACAGTACTTACTTGTTCTTAAATTCAATGTCGGTATGGTTTGCGCACAATTGCTCCACCCTCCGATATTTCCGATTTCAGAACGCCCCCCCCCCCCCCCCTCCCTCGTGCGGTTCGACTGACCCCTCCCCTCCCCGGTGTGGCAGTTTGCCGAGTCGCTGGTGCGCTGTCTGAAGGACAGTCTGAAGATCTGCGAGTGGGACAAGGCGCGCAACTGCCTACGCTTCCTCTCTGACCTGGTCAACTGCCACGTGGTCTCGGCCTCGTCACTGATGGCGGTCTACGACAACTTCCTGGACGCGGCCCTGGAGCAGGGCGTGCCACAGGTGAGACGGGCCCCCGCCGCTCCCCACAAGACTGATACGGCGGCCGCCGCTCCTCTCCCTAGTCCGTCTCGGGGTGTTGCTGCTGATGGCTGAAATGTAACAGGTTCGGTGGGTGATAGGGGTATGAAGTCTGCATTTGCGACCGTAGCTTAGGTAAGTTGATTTCGAAGTACAGAAGACATTGGCTGGTATTACTCACTGCCAATAAATTTTAGAATAATTTGTATGAGCTCGTTTCCTTGTTTTTTTTTGTGTGGGGGGGGGGGCGATTTCGTTGCTGGTCGTCTGTGGTCCCTATTACACTCGTCCCGTCGTTAAAGCTTGCCGTTCTGTCATTGGCCGGTTGCCCCTCCATCATTGACTGACCCGTCCCCACTCCGTTCCATTAGGTGCGTACCGACTGGCTGGTGTACGCTGTGCTCACCTGCCTGCCGTGGGTGGGCCGCGAGCTGTTCGAGAAGCGCGAGACGGAGCTGGACCGGCTGCTGGCCACCGTCTCCTCCTACCTGGACCGGCGCAGCAAGAAGCACGTGCCGGCGCTGCGCGTCTGGTCCGGCGACGACCCGCACCCGCAGGAGGAGCACCTCGACTGTCTGTGGGCGCAGATCTCCAAACTGCGCGCCGACAATTGGCAGGAGAAGCACATCCTGCGACCGTACCTGGCGTTCGACTCGATCCTCTCGGAGGCACTGCAGCACAAGCTGCCGGAGATCAAGGCGCCGCCGCACCACGCGTCCAACGTATACCCACAGCCGCGCGTCGTGTTCCGCATGTTCGACTACACAGACTGCCCCGAGGTGAGACTAGGCGGGTCGGGCCGGTGGTTTGGGGTGGTCATTGAATGTGTCGAATATGTAACTGTCTAGTGCGGTGTGGTAATAGCCTGACCTTATGCGTAACTGTGACGAATATGAACATTAAATGTTTGAATGTGAAAATGGTGACGGGTGTTCAAAGGCCTGTCAAGGCGGGTGTTTGGATGCAAATCTTCTGTTCCGATGCGAGTGTCTAGATTTTCAATGTTTACGCTGAAGTTCAACCTAAATCTAACCTAGTCTAGTTTGTGGCAGAATCCTAGTGTAGGCTTGGACTACCGGCCTATGTAACGTCTTCCGAATCGTGTTGTTCACTTGCGGCTCGTCTACTGTTTCAGAACGGCCCGATTCTGCCCGGCTCTCACAGTATCGAGCGGTATTTGATCGAGGAGCACCTACACCATATTCTGGAGGTGCACCACAACGACCGCAAGGAGTGGTGAGTCGCCGCGCCGACCAGATATATGTGAAAGAGAAGCGCTGTAAGGGTGGGATAAGAACACTTCATATTCTAGCTCACAGTTGGTGACGTGCTGTTTTCTCGATACGTTATTGTCGGACGCAGAATGGAATGGCGGCTTGCAGAGACCCGACTGCCGACGGTTGCCAATAATGCGGCGGACGTGTTTGTTGACGGCAAACACGGACTGTTTGGTCTGTCCCGCTGTTCGGCTGGCCCGGGCTTGACGCGCCAGTTCCATTGAGTAGTGTCGGGGAAATGACGTCAAGATGACAGGCTACGTCCCAGTGCAGTATGTATGATTGTCGTTTTAGTACAAATATCTTCGAAACGGATAAACCACGAAAAGTATTCGGATGCTAAGAACAGGGCTAAGTACTAGGGCAAGTCTGAGAAGATTCCAGCACTGTAACCCAGCCATAATCAAGTCCAAGTGTGTTTCACTGTCCGTTGAATGAGTGTCACCGGTCTAACACTACAGTCGCTCAGCGATCGGGTACTGGATGATGTTTCTAACCATCTACTCGTGTCGACTTCCAGCTCTGCGCAGCTTCTCAACTTCCCGCACAAGACCAAGATCCCGCTGGACTACATGATTGTCGAGGTGATCTTTTCTGAGCTCTTCCAGATGCCGGCACCCAGGTGGGTTAATCTGCCGATAGTCTGTTGGGTTAGGCTGGGTTTCAAACTAAAGGCCGTAGTTAATTTCACGTTTTTTACGCTGTTTATCTTCTGCCCACTGATTTAGTTTTTATACACACCCATAGCTGAGCCTGTTGTGACCGTGTATTACTATTCACCCCTACCTCCCATCCGCTGAATTTCCACACTCTCCCGCCAGGTATTTGGAGATCAACTACGGCTGTATCCTGATCGAGCTGTGTAAGCTGCAGCCGAGCACCATCCCGCAGGTGTTGGCGCAGGCCACAGAGATCATGTTCGACAGGATCGACACCATGAACGTCTCCGCCTTCCAGAGGTGGGTGAAGGACGACGGGGTGTGAGTGGAGGGAAATTACCCACCGTGTGGAGATGCACAGTAATTCGTAGTCAGCGAGTGGTGATCACTGATCACCCAAGTGATGGGTTGTGCTCAGTGACGTGCCGTGATGTCTAGCTAGTAGCTTCTCATGGTTATTCAGGCAGTAGAACCGAAGGATGTCGATATCGGGGTTCAGTTACGGCGCCGCCATGATTTTGATAATTGCCTTTGGATATCCGTCTTGTGTGAATGGTATTTATAGGTCAATGAGAATGACGATCGTATGGCACGTATCTGGCAACGTTCGCCGTTTTAACACTTGTTTCGTGTCAACTTCTTGCTAACCCTGTTTCTCTCGTTTGTCAGGTTTGTCGGCTGGTTCAGCTACCACCTGAGCAACTTCCACTTCCGATGGCAGTGGTCCGACTGGGCCGACTGTCTGGCGCTCGACCCCGAGCACCCCAAACCAAAGTTTGTCCGCGAGACGTTCGAAAAGTGTCTCCGACTCAGCTACCACCAGCGGATTCAGGTGAGGGCGGGCGTGGCGAGGGACGTGTGTGATCGCGAGTCGCCCCCTGGGACGGAAATAATGCCATTGCTCATGCGTGAACTACGTGGACTGTCATGGTAATTGCTTGTGACTTTAAACATTATGCCTCATGCAGCGATACATTGGCATGGATTCTTGTGAATTTATGCATTATGCAGTCCTTGTGACTGTGCATTCTGGCCTCTGGGTACCTTTCGTATCCGCATGCCCAAATCACGCACTTGATATGTGATGTTGTCATCTTTATGCTGTTTCCCTCCCTTTTATTTCTCCCTCGCAGACCTGTCACTCACTCACTCACTCACTCACTCTTTCACTCACTCACTCACTCACTCCCCCACAGGAGATGGCCGGCCAGGAGTTTGCCGCACTGGTGCCGGTGGAGACCAAGCCGCGGCTGCGGTATCGAGAGGAGGGCGCCGGCTCCCTCCCCGGCACCATGATCGCCCACCAGCTCATGTCGGCCATCAAGGAGCGCTGCTCGCCCGAGGAGGCCATCCGGCTCCTCAAGGAGCTCCACAATCCGCTGAAGACGGCCGACGACGACGCCGAGCCCACGCACAACCCGCTCAAGATCGAGGTGTTCACGGAGACTCTGCTGTTCGTCGGCTCCAAGAGCTTCTCACACGCGTTCGCCGCCATAGCCAAGTTCCATTATGTGTTTAAGGTATGTGTTTGGGGCTTTTTGGTAGAAGCTTATGCTCTAAATTCTAAAGTAACTTTAATAGTGATTTATTAGTTTGATTTTGATCAGAATCGGCACGGCACAATATGTACATTATTATGGTGAACCGGTTGGCAAAATTTCATTTTGAAGGTGTATTCAATCATTCGCAATTCAAAACAATAGCTTTTGCACTCATTTGAGCTGATCGTCATCACTCACTACTCAGTCAGTCAGTCAGTCAGTCAGTTAGTCTCTGTTTTCGGCGAGCTGTTCCGCAGCTCTCCCTGCCTCTCACCACGCCCTTCCTCCCCAGGTGCTGGCGGAGACTGAGGAGGCCCAGATCTGCGTGCTGCGGAGTCTCTACAACGTGTGGAGGGACCACCCGCAGATGATGTGCGTCCTCGTCGACAAGATGCTCAAGACGCAGATAGTCGAGTGCTCAGCAGTGGCCAACTGGATCTTCTCGCGGGAGATGAACGCCGATTTCCTCAAGTGAGCACGGTTTTGAAATAGTAAGGTCGAAGCTAAGAAACTTCCTGGAATGGTCGAGGTGGTTGTGGAGTGTTTGATAAACTTTCGGCCTCGTTGCATTGCTCCTTTTGTTTGAATATTAAAATGTAAGCAATTCCTAGAAATATTCAGCGGGTAGTGGTTTAGTAGGACGTAGAAAGCATAATAAGACACCGTATTATAAGACACTATCCACCGATTCCGATAGATTTTGGTCTCTGCTAAACCCTCTAGTTACCGGCGCCGTGTCTCCTCGCAGGTCCTACGTGTGGGAGATCCTGAACCTGACCATCCGCAAGATGAGTCAGCACGTGCACAAGCTGACGGTGGAGGCGGCCGAGGCGCGCGCGCGGCTGCACCACGACTCTGGCGACGACTCGGACAGCGACGACGACCGGCGCGACCGGCCCAGTGACGAGCAGGTGGAACGCATGGAGGAGCGCCTCGAGCAGGCCCAGTCCGACCAGAAGACGCTTTTCCTCATCATCTTCCAGGTGAGGGTGCCGGGAAGGGGGGCTGTGGGGTAGTGGCTGGGGCTGACGCTGGCTAGTATGCCGGGTAGGGCGCTGTCGCTAGGAGGCTGACGGATGAGGTGTGTGTAGGTTAGTATGCCGAGTAGGGCGCGCTAGAGACTCAAAGACGGTTGGGGCGACGCTGGCTAGTGTGCCGGTTTGATGTGCTGGAGTGAGTGTCTGTTGGAATGTTGGAATGTTTGTTTTCCCTCTCTATTGTTTTTGTCCTGTCCGATCGCTGATATATTGGTAGGAGGCGATATTCTGACATCGGAGCAGGTTACCCGGCTGACTGTATGACTTGTATGATAAAATGGCTTGCTCACATTTTTGCAACTATGACATTATTTGGTAGACGAATAATTGCATGATCTGTAATCCACAAGCTGCAATTACGTATGAGCTAACAAACCTTTGTGTCCTTCAGCGGTTCATCATGATCCTGTCGGAGCACCTGGTGCGCTCCGACACCGACGGCAAGGACTTCCGCACCCACTGGTGGAAGTGGACCTTCGGCCGGCTCCAGCAGATCTTCATGCAGGTCAGTGGAGCGTATCGCGTCTACGGAGTACGGCACTTTGCGTTGTTCGGATAGCGTGCCGTGGAGGCCAGTGGCGATCTAGTCCAAAAATTTAGAGTAAGTGTGAGCTTATATCAGACTTATGAACAATGCCACTATTATTATTCTTTGGCAGTGACAGATAAGCAGCGATCTCGCGTTCTGTTTGTAGATGCTATGGCTATTGTCTGCTGGGTAACGTTATCACTGTGTGGTAGATCTGGTACTTGGACCACAGCATGAAACTAAATTGGACTCGATGTAAATCGTGAGGACGTGGCATATATTCATCATAGCAGCTGCCGGCTTACAGCAGACCTTTAGTTTGACCGCCTGCTCCAGCCGTCCGTATGAAGGTACCTAACGAGCAATGGCACAATATACCGTTGTTCACTTCCTGGAACATGAGAAGCCATTATCTGGTAATGACTGATGCCTTTCATACGTCCAACGAATAACTGGCGTAGAAGCTATTGATTTGTACCATGAATTGGCGTAATTTATGAGACAGATCTCGGGTTTGATTACCCTGATTTCATGCTTCCTCGGCGGCCATCGTCCGCCTTTTTGTTTGTGCTTTCGTTTGTATGTTCTCTCAGACACTGAACCATTCCGGCCACTCCGCCACGTGGAATCCATCGGCCATGGCCATGTAGTAGGATTAATTCCATCAGCCTCTCAACCGAATTGACCTTTGTACTGCCGTGCCGATTGAACAGGATGCTCACGCATTATCATCGGCACTCAATTTCAATTGAACGTAGCGTCCGCCCGACAACATGTGGCGCAGCGTCGAGTACTTACATGAACCCATGCAGTGTGAACTATGTAGTGTGCACTCGGCTCGTCGTCGTATGCCATGTCGAGAACTTTGGTCGGACCTGGCATGAAGTTGACTGAGTCTCGACTAGTTTCTGTGCCAATTTTTAGTTTCACTTAGCTGCATGTCGCTTGTGGCATAGCAAAACCTAGCTAATGGCTGCTCCTGGATCAGTCGCTGACTTTTTTCCGGTTGGTTAATCGTCTTTTTATCGATCATTGAACAACTCATCCATAAATTCTGAACGGGGTAGGAGTTCAAACGGTTTCAGACAAGTTTTGATATATCGACGTCTGTTGCTTTCCATTTATTATTGAATTTGTTTGCATTAATCCTGGTGGTTAATCGGCTAACTTTTGTAAACACTTCAAAGCACTTCAGTCGATTGCTCGTGCACTCTGCTCGTCTACACTGCGGCGAAATCGATTTGCTATTGGTTGGTCATGGCCATTGATTAGTGGAGGCACTTTATCCGCACTTAGAAGTAGAACGACTAGCAGAGACTCTGCCTCAGAATGTCCTGACCGGTATCATCGAGGCGAAAGCCTTTCAGGCGCCTTACGTCTAAAGCCCTAATAAACAACAACCTTTCAGGCGGCGATTCCTAGATGAAACTAGCCTCTTCATTCTCTGTAGCCTAACACATGCTGCTTTACCTGACGAGTTTCTCTCCCCCTGCCCACAGCACAACGAGCAGGTGCACAAGTACAGCCAAACGCTGGAGACGCTGCTGTTCACCCAGGACCTGGACCCGCACGTGCTGGACGCCTTCCACCAGTTCCTGGCGCTGCGGGACTGAGCGACCCGGCCTCTCCGGACCAGGTGCTGTCCCCGGTCCCCCGGAGCACGCGACCGTTTCACCGCCCCTCGCGTTACCCGACAGCTGTTCTTAGTGTTCCTTTTTATTGCGGCACGCTGCAGTTATATTTGTTTACCGACTGCGCTACATCCCAGGGTCGTTCGCTGAAAAAGCGACCGTGGCTGACGGCTCGTGGCAACCACCGACGTAGTTCATCCGTTTGTTTGGGCTCACATAATTGTTTTGTTTGGCTTTCACGTAGCGTCGTAAATTTGTGACCAGGTGCGGGCACGGCGAGTTTGTAAAGCTCTGTGACGCGTTGCCAAGGGTCAATGATACAAGGGTGAACGCTGTGACGGGGATAGGGGAAAGCGAGACAGCCGTTTGTGCGATATAAATGCGTTCCCTTGAGTGAGGTTGCCACTCACTCGCGGCACCACACCGGACAGTATATTAACCTCGACTCGGCTGACGCCATGCGGCGACGCGATTCAACGAGCACACTCTCGTCAAGCGTGGGAGTCTCCCTGTGTGCGAGATCTTTGGAGGCGAGGTCCCCATTGGAGCGAGGTCTTACCACACCGGGGCCGCGGCGGAGCCTGCCGTTGCACGCAGCGGTGCCAGGAATCTGGGGAGGCGCGCCGGCTATGTTTAGCGCCGCCGGCAGGCCCGCCTGTGTCGCTGTCGGCGGCTGCGGATGGGGTTCGCCCACCAACAGGTGCCACCGACCCGTGAACGGCCAGCCGGGGGGCGTAGGACCGAGCGCGAGTCTTCAGTGACGTGGCGTTGTGAGGCGAGAGTGTGAGAGCGTAAGCGTTTGTGGTGAGAACTGCGTCTGGTGGGGGCGGCGCTGGAGGGAGGATACTGCTGTGAAAGGTGGGAGGGTTGGTGCCAACTTCGGCGCCCGTAGTTCGAACACATCATTGAACTTTCAACACATTCATCATACCTGAGACCGACTTCCGATGAATAAATATCAGCGGAGGCCGTATGATTGACTTTTTGAGGAGTTGAGGGAGCTGGGATGACGGACGTTTGATGCCAAACCCAGGGTGGAGTCGGTGCCAAGAGTTCCACCACCACGCCTATCAAATTTGATGGTCGCCGTTGGCCGGGCGCCGGAAAAACATTAATCGTCTGTTGAATTTTAACATTTTCATGGGCGGGAGGATATTTTTGACCACACATCCTGGAAGCATCGCTACATCACTATCGCTTGCAGATGATCACCCACAAATTTCTGGGACCCGTGTGATTCTCATGTCTCCCATTGTACACCAAAATATGCACTGAATGATCTCGTCTGAAACAGTGGAACGTATGCTCAGTAACTATTGTATTTCACATTAATCAGCAGTGACGGTACACGTAGCATGCAGTTCACGATATGGTAGGAATGTATCAACGGTGTGTGTTCGGTCGTTAGTCAGTTTCCGGCACACCGAAAGCCTCACGAAGCTTCTTCAGCAGTTCTTTTTTCTCGCTATCGGGCAGGAAACTTGCTTTCGCTGCGTTGAAATTCTGAAAAAGCACCATGCATTTCAGTCTATGCAAGGCAGGATGACGGGACTCGGGAATGCCATTCGGCCGAATGTTGGGTGGCGAACCGATTCCTTGAGTAGTGCCCGCGTTCCAAATACAAAGATACATAGAAGCGTCTACGAGAAGTTCACAATAAGATCAACTTATCAGTTTTCCCAGCTGCACGCGTAGGTTTGCAGCTGGCATGCTCTCCATGCCCACGATGGCAATCTAACGTACTCCCGTCATGGGTATTTTTCATTTGTCCCCATCGCGTCGACGAATTGACGGCCACTCACCATGGTAGCGAACATGGCCTCGTTGAAGCCCATTCGGCGGAGCAGACTGTACTCTGTGTCCATGTCCGCCTGGATCACGGTCGGGTCGTCCAGGTTCACCGAGAAACTGGCGCCGTCCTCATAAAATCTGCCGTAAGGAAAGAACGCGTTACTACGCCAAGCTATGACATTTGTTATACATACATCGACGCAAGGTGAATTCATCTCTGTCTACAATGTTTAACCCGCGCCGTGCTGGGGGGGGGGGGCGTTTTTACGCCCCCCCCCCTCAGGTTTTTCGCGAATATCTCAAAAACGGCGGCGCGCAGCGCCGCCGTTTTTGGTACACGTGTTCCTACATCATTTCCGCACATGTTGTGAAAATTTCAGACCTAGGCCGTTCAAGGTCAGGTCACCAGGTCACGTCAAGTGACCTTACCTCAGAAAAAGTTCAAAGGCTCGCTATAGCTACACCGACTGAACGATCACTTTGAAACTTTCAGCGATTGATATGAGTAACAGTATGTATAAAATGTATATCTCGGATTTTTGATATCTGTGACCTAAGGTCAGGTCAATTTTGCGACCTCTCCATTATAAGTCAATGGGAGAAAATTGAAATGCGCCTCTTTTGGACGAATATCGTTCAAAACGCTCTCAAATATCGGTTCATAGGTAAACATGACACACTGAATAGGAAAAATGCACCTGTGACCCCTCTGTGTGCCCCTGAGGTCATCTCAGGTCATGAACGGTCGCCAGCAGTTTTTTGGCTATAACTTTTGATAGAGACGTGCTAGAGCGGTGAAAACACGTCAGATGTGTTCAGCTCGACGATACGGATCGACTGATATGCAACATGACCCTTTTCGGTCAGGTCATGACCTTGACCTGAGGTCAAATTTTCAAAATGACCTTTCAAGGTCAACAAATAGTTCATTCGACGCGTCTCGACGAGAGGAGCACGATGCTGGCAAAAGTAATGTCATGGCGCTTATGAGTCAAAAGTTATTGACGAAAAAACGTTTTTCGTAAAAACGGCTATTTTTGGAGTTTTTGCCCTCTGGAGGCTAAACCGTTGACCTGAGGTCAAATCTGAGAACATTACTCAGAAAGGTCTGTAAAAGGGCTATCGAATGCGCTTTTCCGCGGCGCTGTAGCTCTATCGGTTCCCGAGATAGCCGTTGGCAGTTTCCAAAATGTTGAAATAGTCAACATTTTACCTTTGGTGACCTCTGGTGACCTGACCTTTGACCTGACCCAAAAAATGACCGAAGTGTTTTCGTCCTTATTTTTGACGCTCTTTCGATTGCCGCTTACCGCGTGTCGCTACGTGGCCCAGGAGCCGAGTTAGACGGGGGGGCGTGAAAACGCCCCCCCCCCCCCCAGCACTCGGCGGAAAGTTCAGGCCACCAGCACGGCGCGGGTTAACAGTTTTGTGCATTCTCTAGATATGTATATCGATCAAAGATAATATTTAAAACTGTTTGATGCACTAAATATTTCATGACGCTCTGCTAGACACAAAAACTCGCCTCTGAACAGGGTGCTTAGTCTGTGTGAGTGACACGGCGCCTGTCAGGTAGCTGGAGGAGGGGCAGCACTCGAAGTGGACGCGCTCCTTGATACAGCGTTTATACAGCTCCTCGTCCTCCAGCACGTGGTAGCCGTGACCGATCCGCTCGGCGTGCATCTTATCGAGCGCCTGGAAACCGCAGTGGGAACGGGACGTTGGAATGTGAGATCAATGGACCATCTCGGCCTGCACGTAGTCCTTGTAAATGATGAAACAGACTCTTTACGCAGTCAGGAAATCGGATGCCAGAGCCTATTCAAATACATTAAATTGCGCTCGCATTGAAGTACATAGGGAGGTGCGGATGATTAACGCGTGCATGATTTATTTAATGAATTTGAATAGGCTCTCGCTTGCAAAGAGTCTGCTGTTTCAGCCTTAACCCTTATGCATGACTGACAACTCCGCTCTATCCTACTTCCTGCTCTTTGCCCTTTCCCTGTCCCTGAAGACAGCTGATCTCCCAGGCTGACATCCATGTATCCCGTACTCACCACCTGTACCATGTAGACGGGCCCCGCCTCTACCGTACAGTCACCAGCAGTTGCTACCCATCACCCTCGGACGGCGGGGGAGCAAGCTACCACCGCCCCTGCGAGACTAGCGCCGCCATGCGCCAAGAAGTGGAAACACCACGTGACTGAGGCCACGTGAGGGCAGGGTCACGTGATGGAGGGGCGGAGCATAGTAGCTTTTGCGCCCGACACTAACTGAAATGCGGCGCTGTGATTGGGCGCCTTAGCATGAATGAAGCCCCGGCGCCAGAATCAGCCGTTCGCCTTATATGGAAAGTGAGCCTTTGCGTTTCACTGTTCTGTATTGGTTTGAGAGCCTCGGCACCATACGAATTGTGAGCCCCTTTGAACGAGTCACCGCCCGAGGCACTGGGTCGACGGCTGTGCCGGGCAAAGTCTAGCCTGGTGGGAGAGGTGGGCCAGGGAAAGTGCGATCGAGCAGCCACTGGGACGTGGATTGGTATTATCCAACCGCGACAAACGATGTCAGCACCCTCTTCTCGTGTCTATGAAACGAAAAGCTAGACAGACAACGTGGGCAGTGCCCAGTCAAAAGCTACTAAACGATCCAGTTAAGAAGTTGGCGAGGTAGCCAGACCAAATAAAAAGTTTTTAATTCGATTTTGGTTGACAAATGACATACAAGCCCGCTGTGATGGACCAAAAAAGGAGCTGAACAGTTCATACAACTTATAAAAAGCTCAACGGTTTAAAAATTCAAAAGTTAAATGTTAAAATTAAGCCTGCATGTTAAAACTCTGGGCCGGCGCTGGCAGGAAGCTTATACTGCCACTTGCAATTCCACTACGTTGTAATATAACCAAGAGTTCTGTGAGAGCAGCAACTGAAAGCCCCGTTGAGGGGGGAGGGCGGCGCGAAACGGCCCCCTCTCTCCTTTTCAGTCGGTATCTCCTAAAGTATAGCAAATGTCACCACTAAACTTTCAAGACCCCTCCGGGCATCATTTTTACACCTTGTGACCAAATTTTTCCAGAGCTCTTATGAAAGGTTAGTCACAAATTACGTCAGAGGGATGTCATGTTCTGTCATTTTCGACCCAATAAAAGGTTTAGCGGGAAGAGCTGTCACGCTTACAGTTTTGAAGGTAACGAAAAATATTCAAGATCAAAAAGATGTAAAATAAACAGTGCTACCAAACTCTTATTTCCAAACAAAAACTGATTTTGACCATCAAAACTATAGAAGTATAACGCCCCCAAAATACCAACAACTTTCAAAATTAAAACTGAAATATATGTTATAGAACTATCTGCTCTAGATATGCCAAACTTAAACTCGATAGCTCCATTTTTAGCAAAGATATGGCAAAAAAACTACTCAAAATTTATTCCGTAAAATTTTCAAATTCAAATTTCAGCCGTCACAGAACACACAGAGCAAGTCAAAGACCACCAATGGATTTCCTGTGATGAGCTGCATCATCGAAAAGATACCCCTTTTATGCAAAATATCAACTTTGAAATCTGACCTTCTTTGACCTGACCTTGACCTGACCTCCACCAGAATGTCATCTAAACTGGCCCCAATGGCCGTCTAGCCCACACCATTGAATTTTAAATGTAAAATTAGCCATAAAACATGTATCACACGACCCTAGCATAGTTGGGTTCATATTGTGACCCTTAGTGACTTGACCTCTGTAAACTGACCTGGCATCAATGACCTCTTAAGGCAACATATGTATTAGACAACCAACGCTACATCGATGTTTTTCGATAACATGCCTTTTGTTTGATGTGTTAACTGACTGTAACGCATTCCTTAGACTAAATCGGTGAAAAAATACGACCTTTGACCTGACTTGTGGCGTCATGGGTTGCACCTAGGTCAACGAAACCTGGTAACAAGGTAGTTCCCTGGTGGGGCTATCGAACGCTCTTTGAATGTTCAAAATCGGTCGGTAACTTTCCGAGATCTCAAGTGGAAGGTGAAACGGCTGCACCACCCGATCAGGTGGTAGGGTCCGCCAATGGCCCAAGGGGGTGCGGATTATTTATTCACTCATACAGTGTCATTTATTTTGAGAACACCTTTCTCACGCCATGACAGGTTCCTCTCGTAGTAGAACGAGATGAGGAGAGTGTTTTCACGCCTCCTTATGCACGGCTCTTAGTGTCATTGAGCTATCAACTGTCAGCGGTTTTCGGACAATGAAGTTCTTTCTTAGTCCTTACTGAATCCAATTTTATTTCAAACGATTGTCACTGTGCTAGTTTTCTTCTTATACGTTTTTGAAAAAGCGCTGAAGAAGTCTTTGATAGACGAAACCGGTCCGCTTATTCTTTTTCTAATTGTTTTTTGAATATATTCGTAGACTACCGGCTCTTTACTACAAAATTTGAGAATGTTTGGTATTACTTTGACCCGAACGATGTGCAGCTGAATTTTCCCTCTTGAATGATTATGGACAGCTCACGAAATTAACTTCAACCTAAACTACGACAAGCAGAAGAAAATCCGATACAAGCCTACCTCAATCCTCTCACCTTATTCAACCGTTGAAACGTGAAAGGCATTTGTTCAGTCCGAGTCGCTATGTCGACGACCCGCGCCGTGCTGGGGGGAGGGGCGTTTTTACGCCCTTCCCCCTCAGGTTTTTCGCGAATATCTCAAAAACGGCGACGCGACGCGTAGCGTCATTCAAGGTCAGGTCACCAGGTAACGTCAAGTGACCTTACCTCAGAAAAAAAATCGAAAGCTCGCTGTAGCTACACCGACTGAGCGATCACTTTAAAACTCTCAGTAATTGCTTAGGGTAACAGTATGTATAAAATGGATACCTCGGATTTTTTAGGTCTGTGACCTAAGGTCAGGTCAATTTTGCGACTGCTCCATTAGGTATAAAGTCAATGGGAGAAAATTGAAATGCGCCTCTTTTGAACGAATTTCGTTCTACACCCTCTCAAACATCAGTCCATAGGTAAACATGACACACTGAATCGGAAAATTGCACCTGTGACCCCTGTGTGTGCCCCTGATGTCATTTTAGGACTTAAAAGGTCTTCAGCAGTTTTTTACTTTTGACAGAGACGTGCTAGAGCGGTGAAAACACCGGTGATCTGAGGTCAAATTTGAGGTCAATCAGAGCGGTGCCCTGTGGGGGCTAAAGCGTTGATCTGAGGTCAAATTTGAGGACATGGCGGCGAAAGAGCGTTAAAAGAGCTATCGAATGCGCTTTTCCGCGGCGCTGCACACTGGGCCGGGGGCCCGGAAAAGTGCTAGAAATTATCTGTGATTGAGTTGTTGATCTCAGTGACAAGCAAACATGCTAAAAACGACGTGGGGCTGCTTAACCCTCGCCGGACCTATTGTCGGACCCCCCCCCCCCCCCTCGGCCAGCCGAGGGGGAGGATTGGTACGACCCCTTTTCGCCGTTTCGCCCCTAATGGAGCTAGAGCCTCGCGGAAAAAACAAGCGTGTGCGCCGTTTCAAGACGAAACGATTGATACCCGATTTTAAGGTCCCAGGTCAACCGGTAGCCTCTGAGGTGAAGTCAAAAAGCCCAAGGTAGGGTTTAGTTTTTGGTAAATAATTTCGCAAAAAATGGCCGCAGAGCAGCGATTTTGGCACCATCGTGTTCGCCTGGCTCAGGCGCGTCGAATGGTATACTTTTTGTCCGGGTGAGGTCAACTTAAGGTGTTGACCTCGAGTCAAGGTCAGTTCAGAGCCCATCAGGCCACGAACTTAATCGAAGGAAGTCGTATTGCATATCATTCGATTCGGGAGGTCTTCCCGAGTCCATTGGTGGCTTTCCCGAGTCGCTGGCTCAATTTGATCATGAGTTATTGACGAAAAACTCCTATGACCGTAATGACGTCATAAATGACGTCACGGAAGGTCAAAAATGCAAAAGTAAAGCATCGGATCTTGCAAGGAGTGCATGAAATCACGATTCCGAGTGCTTGAGATAGTTTGAGGTCATTTCTTGCGCAAAAACAGCAGTTTCCTTATTTCCCCATTGACTTTTATTGGTGAGGTCACGTGACCTCGAAGAGTAGCAGGCATTAGCAAAAATTGCGAGTAGGGCATGACAGAAAGATGGTTAGTGGTTTGTATGGCATGGTCATTTTTAGCGGCTCGAAATAACATTTCTCAAAAAGTCTGACTAAAGAGCAAGTTGTTGTTGATTATCACTGACTTGTGTTTGGGGGTTAATAACGACTGAATTTTTTAGTTTGGGCCAAAATTTTTAACAGCATTGTGTGCGTTGATCAATTCTGAGCTCAGGGACATATATTCTATTCTGATTATACGCGTTTGTTTTTCAAAACTTCCAGCGCTTTAAAGAGCGCCGGGCCTTCAGTAGAGCGGCGAGGTGACAATTGCCCCTACATCATGTGGTTTACTTGCGCATATCTCGAAAAGTAGCAGGGAAAAGCAGCAAAGCACCTATATGGAACGAAAGATGAGTAATCAGAGGCTAGTATAAAATGTTCATTTTTAGCTGCTCGAAATCACATTTTTATAAAAGTCTAATTAAAAAATTAGAAATGATTTTTAATTACGTCTTGCAGCTGCTTGCAAAAAGCTAGCTTATCTTGCAGAAAAGCGATGCAATATGTAAGAATGATGTTGGCACAGTGAACAACAGTGCCCTAAACTAGTCTGTGAGGAAATTTCGTTCAAAACGACGATTGGTCAGCTAATAAATTACCACTGAAGATCATCATGAAAATCGGTAAATGTGGTGGCCACTAGAGAGTCTAAATTGTCTTGTGTTTGGTGACAACTGACGACCTCAATTTTGACCTTAGGGAAAAACTGGCATCGGAATCGTATTCTTCGATCAATTTGGGATTAAATGATACCTATTTTGTTCATATTGCGGAGAGTCAGTTTGGGGGAATTTCTAGCGCTTTTTCGGGCTGCCGGCCTACAGTGCGCTGTAGCTCTATTGGTTCCCGAGTTAGCCGTCGGGTGTTCAAAATCGTTGAAATCAACATAATTTGACCTTTGATGAACCCTGGTGACCTTACCTTTGCCCTGACCTTAAAATGACCGATTGTTTTCCTCCTTATTTTTGACGCTCTTTCGATTGCCGCTTACCGCGTGTCGCTACGTGGCCCAGGAGCTGAGTCAGACGGAGGGGCGTGAAACGCCCCCCCCCCCCCAGCACTCGACGGAAAGTTCATGCCACCAACACGGCGCGGGTTAATTGTTATGTTACTGTTAGCTAGCTCCTGTTGTAAGCTGTGGAGTCGTGGACCTGATCTTGAAGGAACTGGGCCTAACATTTTCATAGCAAACGTAAAAAAATGTTTAGTAGGTTGTGCAAAAAATAGCATCTCTTTTATGAAACATTTGCAAAACCTTCAACATCATCCCCAGACCCCATTAGTGCCGAGCCCCCAACGACGACCATAAAAGCGTCCCCATCCTGTCATAGGCCGTGGAACGGGGAGGGCACCGGGGCACCGTGCCCCCTTTGATTTTGGCATTTTAACCCGCGACCGCCTGGGGGGGGGTCGGATCCGACCCCCCCACTCCGTTTTTCTTGAATAACTCATGAACCGCTTGAGCTATCAACTTGAAACTTCGCATACCTTCTCCCCCATCAATTTGACGTCTCCTGTGCAATTTTTAAGAAAAAAAACCAAAAATTTTTGAGATATATCGATTTTAGTGATGTAACTACATGGCGTTTT